TATCACCTAATAAATAATAATCACCTAAAAAGCACATGGTCAAGCACATGTTAAGCTTATAGTGCCAGGAGAAAAGAAACCAATACCTTCCAGTATGTAGTGGTAAGCCCAGTTGTGTTAGATAATAAGCATAGGCCCTGTATATCTAGTGTCAGCACACATGTAACTGTACAAGCCATATTGGTAACAACAGCTTTTTAAGGCAGGCAGGGAGGTGAGAGTTTGGCCATTAAAAACGTTTTAACCCCCAGTTCCAGTTCTCAAGACTGGACTGCCTAGCCTGCTGTTCACCACGGCTTCATGCTAACACAGTAATTGTAAAAGTTTGTTTATATTGTCACATGGTATGACGACAATTGGTGTCTCTGAGTCGTGAAAAGAGGGTCAATGGCGGGATGCTAGGTAGATAGCCAGGAAAGAAGCCTAGGCGGGTAGGCAGACTAGGAGCATCAACCGACTGTGGCCAACACTCTGACGTCTGACTACCGACAAGAGTTGGGTGTAGTGTCCTCTCTTAAATCTAATGTCACACTTTTATTTAATCTCTCTCTCTCTCTCAGGATGTCAAAGAGACAAAGGAAGATGGTGACAGCAAGACAGTTGTTTTTAATCGTACTCCGATAATGTCAACATATCTACTAGCATTCATAGTAGGAGAGTATGATTACATAGAAGATAAGGACAGTAATGGAGTAGTTGTGAGAGTGTATACTCCACTGGGAAAGAAAGAGCAAGGAAGATTTGCACTGAATGTAAGAAAAAAAGAGTTGTCTGCTTCTTCTAATGCTCTCTCTTCCTTTTAGATTGCTACAAAGACTTTGCCATTTTACAGGAAGTATTTCAATGTTCCTTATCCTCTTCCTAAAATTGATCTTATTGCCATCCCTGATTTTGCAGCTGGTCAGTCCTTATAATAAATCCATCATTTCATTTGATACTTTTATCAGGTGCTATGGAGAACTGGGGTTTAGTTACATATAGAGAAAGACTCCTACTCGCTAGTGAGGATTCTCCTATCTCCAGTAAACAGATTGTGGCTATTGTTGTTGGTAAGCAGCTGCTCTCCAGTGCCTCATTCCACCATTTTATTATCTTGTTTTATGTAGGACATGAACTGGCCCATCAATGGTTTGGAAACTTGGTTAGTTAGTTAGCTAGTTAGTTAGTTAGTGGCCATAAGTATCTTAAATATTATCTTGATATTATTATATTTCTCCATAGGTTACGATGGAGTGGTGGACTGATTTGTGGCTCAATGAAGGTTTTGCGTCTTGGATTGAGTACCTGTGTGTTGATTATTGTCACCCTGAGTTTGATATTTGGACGCAGTTCCTTGCACAGGATTACGCTCAAGCTTTGAGTCTTGATGCACTGTCCAACAGTCACCCCATTGAGGTGAAATTTATAGAAATTTGGAATTTTTAAAATTACTCAAAAATTGGGCAAAAACACAAGCCAGGAAAATGGATGCATACTAAAACTACTAAATTTTTTAGCCAAAATTTGTCAAAAGTCGCTAAAAGATATTCCTCCATTTTTATAATATTTTTACTTCTACATGTTCTTATTTTATGTTCATGCATTGAGTTTTTCATTTATTTGTGTTTGGTTTTAGGTTATAGTTGGCCCACCATCAGAAGTTGAGGAGATATTTGATACCATTTCCTACAGCAAAGGAGCCTCTGTCATTAGAATGCTGCACAATTGGATTGGAGATGATGTAATAAATAATAGCTATATTATTATTATTATTATTATTATTATTATTATTATTATTATTATTATTGTTATTATTATTATTTTTTTATTATTTAGGATTTTCGTAAAGGAATGAATGCCTATTTGACTAAATATGAGTACAAGAACACTAAGACAGGTTAACTTTATGAATTAGTGTCCCTCCTCCTCCTTTTTATCATTAATCCTTTCCTCCTTTAGTTGATCTCTGGACTTGTTTGGCAGCTGCTAGTGGTAAGCCGGTTATGGAGGTTATGAAGACTTGGACACAGCAGATGGGATACCCAGTACTGACAGTTGACGCCAAACAGGTTTGAATGACATTGAATAAGGCCAAGTATTACGAAATAAAAAAAATTATTGATTTTTGTCATCTTTTTGCTGATTAGGAGGGCAATAATCGTGTCCTTAGCATTTCGCAGAAGAAGTTTTGTGCTGATGGAAATATCAAAGGTTTGACAAAAATCTTGCAATATTTTAAT